CACCAGCGTCAACAGCCTCAACGCCGGCACCGACTTCGGCACCGACGCCAGCAGCATCGACGCCAGCACCGCCTCTGGCAGCGACTCCAGCAGCATCGACGCCATCACCGACTCTAGCACTGGCGCCAGAGCATCGACTCTGGCACCTGCTGCGGCAGCGACGTCGGCAGCATCGACGCCGGCACCGACTCTGACACCGACGCCAGCAGCATGGACGTTGGCACCGATTCCGGCGTCGACTCCACCAGCATCAACACCAGTTCCGCATCCGGCGCCGTCGCCAGCAGTGTCGACGCTGGCGTCGATTTCGGCACCGAAGCGAACATCCCCGCCGCCGCCATCGACGCCAGCGCTAAATCCAGCTCCAACGCCAACAGAATCGCCGGCTGTCAGCAGCACGATATCCATCAGCAGGTTAGGTAGCGTCAGTATGACTTTGTTGTTTAAGGGTGAGAGGCGCGGCGCGGCGAGCAGAGCCGCTGTGATCAGACAGACGGCGGTGACGAGCACAAGCGCGACGTGCATGTCAATTCCAACGAGCAGTACGGCGACGAGCACGACGTCTGCGACGAGGTTGATGAAGCCGATTCGGCCCCCAGCTGCACGGCGAATGCCAGCAGTAGCACGAAACTGATCGCAACCTTTTTGATTGCCACATGTCGTTGTCGGAGCCCCGGCACGCCCTGAACATGAAACTCTTGGTTCCGTCTGCGCGCGGGGCTCCCTCAGGCCCCGCCCCGCGCGGGCGATGATGCACGGGGGCGCATGCTGGCGAAGGGCGGACCTCCGTGCAGGCGCTCACCGCGCAGGATCGGACCAGTCAGAGGGCCACGGCACGCCGGGCCCCGGCAGCACGACGCTGACTTGGTTTGCACCGTCTGGCAGCGCAACCGGGGGCAGCCGCGCAACTCTGGCATCCAGAAGGGACCCGCGCAGCGGGACGAACAGTGCGGCTGGGAGCAGTGTGACGGCGGGGCACTGGGGACAGCGGCGCGCTTCTGGCATCCAGAACGGCGAGCAGCACAGCGGCGAGACGCAGCGCGATGTCATGCGGCTCGCTCGGGCACAGCGGCGTGCGCGACCGACTCCAGCATCATCTCCGTGGCGAGTGCCGCCGCGCCCAGGCCACACCTCTTCGCAAGACAGCGTTACGCACGACGGGCCTCAGCAGTGCGGCGCTGAGCAGCACGCCTGGCACCAGCAAGGCGGCGCTGCCCAGCACCTGCCTTTCCTGGAGCGGTGGCTGTCAGTACGTTCTCGCATTTGTGCTGAGTGCTGGGCCTCGTTCTAGCACGATGATGGTCAGAATTTACCGAGAGCGTTCCACTACTCGCAAAGTGCCTACTCGCGCACGTCAGAAACGCACAGGTCTGCCTCGGTGTAGTGGATCGTAGATCCCCCGCGGCGGATTCAGGCCATTTGCGAGTAGTTACTTTGCGAGTAGTGGAACGCGCTTATCTAAGAATGTGATTGCCCCTGAGCTGGGCCTTGTTCTGGAATGATGGCGATCAATGTGTCCTTGCCCCCGAGCAGGACCTTGTTCTGGAGCGCCTGGCAAACTTGATCACGTTCTCGGAGGCACGCACAGTGCAGAGAGGAAACACATATATATATATATATATATATATACATATATAGAATATAGAGAGAGGGAGGTATACATAAATACGTACATACATACATACATACATACATACATACATACATACATACATACATACATACGTACACACATGCATACAACTATACCTACATACATGCATACATGCATGCATGCATACATGCATACATACAGGCATGCATACATGCATCCATGCATGCATGCGTGCATGCATGCATACATGCATACATACGCATGTACACAATCATATATATATAAATATACATGCATACATACATACATACATGTATGTATGTACATACATACATACATACACACATGCATATATATATATATATATACATACGCACATACATACATACATACAAACATACAGATGTACAAACATACATCCATACATAGATACATACATATAAACATACATGCATACATACATATATGCATTTATCTATACATACATACATGCACACATACATACATACATACATACAAACATACGTACGCACGTACGTACGTACATGCATACATCCATATATACATACATGTATGTATATACACATATGTGCATATGCATGCATGCATACATACATACACACATATACATATACATATACATATACATAATACATAATGTACAATACATAAACATATACATAGACATATGCATATACATATACATATACATACACATATACATATACATATACATATACATATACATAAACACATCTGTATACGACCAGGGACGTCGGAAAAAAAAAACGCATTCGCACACACACACACACGCACAAACACACCTACCTACCTACCTACCTACCTACCTACCTACCTACCTACCTACCTACTTACCTAACGATTGTGGCCCTCCCCGGGCCTCCGGGCAACCTGGGAGAACCTCACGAGAGCCCGAAAACGGCCCCACACGTGTTTCAGGCGTTCCGGCTCGCTCCCGAAACGACCCCAGAGAGCCCCAATACGGTCCACGACGACCCCCAAGAAGCCGTCATACCCTCGAAAACTGCTCCGAAACGTCCTAACAGGCCTCCACGAGCACTCCCAAGAAGGCCCCAAGAGGCAAAACCATTTGATTTTCTGTTTTTTTTGAAGGGTGAATTTTGTGGTTCTCCTCCTTTCGGCTTCCCGACGCTCCAAGACGGTGGCCTTCTGGGCGTTCGAAGCCGCCTGGGAGGCTCCAAAATCGCCCCACAACCATCCAAAAGAGCTTCCAGGCAGTCCAAGAGAGCCCCAAAACGGCACAACAGTGGTCCAAGATGGCCCTGAGAGAGCCCCATGGCGGCCCAAGATGGCCCCAAGACACCCTCCGAAGCATTCCAAATCGTGACACGGTCGTTCAGGGAGACTGCGGTTGGAAGCAGGGTGGCCCGAGGAAGCCCCCAGAGGCTTCAGAATACGCCCAGGAGGCTTCCAGAAGGCCATAAGAAACGTTGAAACATTTTTGTGAGGCCCCTAGAGTCCTAGAGGCTCTCCAAGGAGGAGCCTCCGCAAAACGAGCTGAGGAGGATGGGGAGAATGCGCAGGGTATGGCGAGAATGAGGACAAAGAAGCATGGAGGAAGGATAACGAAAAACATTATTACAACTGCGATGCCGGAAAAGGCAACAAGGAGTTATCTTTAATTTGTCGGCTTGACCTTCCTGCCATTCCGCTTGCATACCAAATTTCAAGGACCAAGGTGCATGGCGCGAAGCGCCACTGCAGTCTTGTGTGTATATTTTGTTTTCTATATCTACATCGCATCGTCCGTTGACGGAGTGAACGGCGCGGCACTCCGCGCTTCTATGCGGGGCGTGATTTTTGGCGACCACGCTGCCCGCTCACGCCTCCTGGCCCGCCTGGCGGCGACCGTCGAGACCGCTTCAGGGCGCTGCACCTGGCACAGTTCTGCCCTGGGGCGCTCGGCGTAGCCGCGCTTCTCGTCTCCTGCCCCCCCCCCTTCCCTCGCATCCTCTCCAGCCGTCGGTGCGTGCTCGCCCTGTGTCGCGCGCAGCGTGGGGTGTTGTGCGTGTGTGTGTGTGTGTGTGTGTGTGTGTGTGTGTGTGTGTGTGTGTGTGTGTGTGTGTGTGTGTGTGTGCACGGGCACCGTGCGTGGGCTGAGCTTAGCTGCCGCGGCCGGCCGACCCCACGGGGCAGCTCCTGCCGCCCAGGGCTCGCCCTCTCGCCGCCGACGGAGTCGGTCCCCCGCTGCTGCGGGGCACTGCCGTGCCCCTGACATTCAACTTGCAGTGTACCCGTCGGTCGTTGAAAGCAGGTATTTTTTGGATCCCCAGATTCAGTCTCCTTTTTGAGCGCGTTCCCACTTCAGGAGTCGAGCGGTTTTCACGCTTCCGTCCTCTTCAGGAGGCGAGCGGAAGCCCGATCCACTTGCAACGCCTTCCTGCTTCCTGTTTCTACCTGCTTCTTCCGACCGATGGGTACCGATTGGTGAGTGCTTACGCCCAAATGTCAGATACACGATTTTAGTCACAGCATGTACCGCCCTGCCGGCTTGCTAGCATGGCCCCTTTTCGCCCTGGGGTTTCGTCCCTCCCTTCTTGATCCTTCTTGCTGCAGCCTTTCGTGCGATAGAAGTTTGGCCGTTTTTTCTGTCAGCCGTTTGGCCGTCTGGGCTTCGACTTGTTTTCTGTGTTTTGCGCGTTGTCCCTACGACTGTTGTGGCTTGATGCCTGAGTAGATTGATGGTCGGTTGGACCATGTGGGGATGCACACATTGCGCCATGGTCAGTCCCCCTTGCCTCGCTTCTCCTCCTCCTCCTCCTCCTCCTCCTCCTCCTCCTCCTCCTCCTCCTCCTCCTCCTCCTCTTCCTCCCTCTCCTCCTCCTCCTCCTCCTCCTCCTCTTCCTCTCTTCCTCCTCCTCCTCCTCCTCCTCTCCTCCCTTCTCTCCCTCCTCTTCTCCTCCTCTTATTCCTCATCCTCCCTCCTCCTCTCCCCGCTTACCCCGCTCCCCTCGAGGCTGTGGTGCTTTGCTTTTTTACTTCTGGTGTCAGTTGAATCCTCATGTGCAGCTTCCTTCATGGAGCTGAGGCTCCGCGCGGATTCTAGAGCTCCAGACTTGCCGGCCGCTGGATACCCTTGGAACTCCTGGAGCGCATCCTGAGCTAGTCGTATCATGCCGTCGTTCTCGTCCTCTCGACTCGAGGGGGTGCTCCCACGCCCAGGCGGTCGAGACGGAGAACATCGACCAGGTCTCGACCCTCTTCTACCACGTGAAGCTCCGAGCGGGGGAGGCGGGGGCGCGGGCAGGGGGAGCCGCCTCTCGCACGCGCGTCCGCGGACCCCCATCCTGTCCCCTCCTCTCCCGCCTCCCTCCTCCTGATCTCGGGCGACCGCAGACATGGATCAGGGGGGTATGGATCGGCG